GCTGGGACATCGTACCCCGCTCACTCACCCTGGGTTGGCCCTTATACTGATAAAGTGGAAGCCCGTCACCGATATGATCTAAATAGTGTCGATGGAAGCGCAACAAACACCTACATTAAAAACAAAGACAATTTTAGAACGTGTACACTACGTGAGAATTTCATTTAGCAATGTTGCTTGAGTTAGAGAGAAACACGACATTATGGACATCGTCGTTTTGTTGGAAAGAAATGAGACACATTTATGAAACAAAATACCCCCCCCCCCAAACAAACAAACAAACAAACAAACCAAAATTAAAAAACAACAACATCAAACGGTGGTGGCATCTCTTCGGGGAGGATTCAGGGAGGTTGGACTGCCTCACCCGCTACCCAAGGGAGGCGGTGGCCCTGGCGAAGAGCACGCTCTTCGGGGCTCCAAACATTTCGAACAGATAGGCTACCACACACACACACAACAACAAACAACAACAACAAACAACAACAACAAACAAACACGTGCCGAGTCGTATAGTAAGAGAGCATTATTTGCTGTCGTTATCAAGATATTCAATGAAATGAATTCGAAAAGAGCTTGATATGTTGTGGAACTCAATACTGTATTTTTTAAGTCAAATTTCTCCAAACTCAGTAGGTCTACTGTGCTGATAGAACTTTGTAAATCTGGGGTACCGAAATGGCGATATAGCATGCTTGGATTCGCCTTAGGTAACAGCCTAATCGCGTCCCCAAGCGAACACAAAAAAAAAGAACAATGCGTTGCAAGCTGGCGAGAAGATGCCATGGCGATAACGTAAAATGCTTTGCGATAACGTAACGGTTATGGGTGTGTGAGCGGATAGTGAGCCTGTCATTGATTTCCCTTTCTTACTCCCTCCGGTTTATTTTTTATTTGTGTGCCAGCGTGGTGGAATCAGGCTCTCGTCGAAATAATGAAAATGAAGAAACTTGCATTTTTCCGCAGGTTTGTGAATTTTTTGGCTCAACACCTTTCATGCCCATTAAAGAGCTAATTTCTGTGTGAATTTTTCTGAAAAACGTTGATTAAAGGCTCAAAAAATGTAAATTTTTAGTTACCACGGACTCTTTAGCTAAGGAAATAACTTATCTTTGGCTGCCATTTCCTCTCTAATTTTACCTCTGAAAACAGGTGACCCCCACCTCCTTCTTTCGCAAATATCTCGACTTGTATTGAAGTTAGAGGGATATTTTCCCCCATCTTAATAAAGACAAGTGGACAAGCTTTAAGATGATACCAATAACTCTACATGGCCAAAAATTGACGAGAGCCTGATTCCACCACGCTGCGTGACATTTTTGCTGTGATTGTGTGCGCCATGTGTCCCCCCAGATCCGTGGTTTGTGGCTTCTTTCTTGTTCCGTCCCCTGCAATCTGTCGCCACCGGCCTGTTCAGTTCAGGTTATGTGCCACAAGTCATTTCTACTGTCTCGTTCCCGTGCTCACTTCTGCGGGTAGCTGAACTTAGAGGCGCGCCACTGAGGAGTTGAAACTTGCCTCCTCATAACACCACGCTGACGCATAATTACAAAGCTCTACAGTCAGTACCAAGTTTGGAGAAATTTGACGTCACAGATTTCGAGTTTCACTACACGTCAAGCTTTTTTAAATCAAATTCTTTGGCTATCTTGATAAAGACTCCGAATAATCTTACAATTTTGATAGAGCAGAATATAATATTTTGTATCTGAACTCAGGGTCTTTAGTAACTCAATGAAGCCCAAACTGTTTGATAAAAGTTTGTAATTCTGAGGTTGCGACTAGTCGATCGGCATGTGTGGTGTAGCGGATAGGCGCTTCGCCGTCGCATGAAGCAGACCTACGCTCCATTCTCGCGCGGAGATAATTTTTATGTAGTACCTTGGTCCTTCTACTGAGACTTTGTACCCATCTCCATCTCCAGAGAGAGAGATTACACGATGGGGGATGGACCGGCCTTCTGAGGTGAATAAGACGAAAAAAACTCACCCCAACCAAAAAACCCCCAAACCATTCCGGACTTACAGGTTTTTGGACTAGCACAGATAATACATGCCCGTGTGTACCGACAATGCGTCGTGTGAGATCTTCCGAGCTACATTAATCTCACGCAACAGGTTTTCATTTTGTGAAACTTTCTTTTTTTGCGTTCTGCAGGCAGGCAAGTTGGTGGAGATGAAATAAAATACCAGCTAAAGGGTAATTAATTTTATGTAACTCGAACTGAGACAGAAAAGATGATGCCGTTTTCAATTTGCCGTTCCATGTAGATCTAGTTTGTGTCGAGCCGCGATCGAGTTCTTGTTTGTCATGCGTTTATCGTGGGATGGATAGATGGCGTCTGCGGTGTAAGTTAGCACACAGTGACGCAGAAGTGACTTCTCTTTTCTTTCACGAGTAAGTTTTCTGTATCGAGTGTCTCCGTCTTCCTGCTGGGAGGCTGATGTGTCCTTCTCTTCCCGGGCTGGTCCCGGGTGGATGGAAACAGCCCGCCCCCTACTTATCTGACTCACTCGATGAGGGTGCAGAATAATATTCATCATCATGCAAAACGGTGTGTGCTATATGTGAAGCATGCTGACAAAATGAGTTACTTCTCGGATTCAAGCCCTATAAAAATAGATACATCACGCTTATAGATGAAGTTTTTACAATTTATAAGTATGAAGAAATAATGAAAGGCATGTTATAGTCAAAGTATATGGCATCAATAGAAATTCTTCAAATTTGACCCTATAGTGTCGATTTTTGGCAAATACCTCCATTTATGGATTGTGAGAAGTAACTCATTTTGTCAGCACGCCTCACATATGTGTTTCATGGGGTAGTCTGAAACAGTTGTCTCCGATTCCAGTGCCTCGAGGTTATGCCGTAGATGAAGGCCTCCTACAGTCCAACCTTTCGTCTTTGTCAAGGAAGGTGGAAACAGGACGAAATAGGGGATCGCTGGGTCTGGGTAAAGCATGGTGTGACTTGATGTCACTGAGGCGTTACGCTTGCCGTGATGGCCGGTCCGGGTCACCCCGAAATGTTGATGGTTAGAGGGGCTCTGGTGAAACCGTGACTGGCCTAGCGAGCCGATAGCGGGCCAACCTTGATTCGAAAAAAACAAAGGAGAATCCATAGAAAAACTGCATCTCCCTAGAGAGAGAGAGAGAGAGAGAGAGAGAGAGAGAGAGAGAGAGAGAGAGAGAGAGAGAGAGAGAGAGTGAGAGAGAGAGAGTCTTGTCCGTCCTGGCCCGTAGATAAGGTCTACGTACGCGAGAGTGTAGCTGATGTTGTTGGGTTATTGTTTGGTCAGTGTCGTACCATGACCTCATTCTGGTCTGGGCCAGACGATACTTGGGGCGTGGGAGTGCGACATCTTCTACATAATACAGAAATACAGACACACACTTACATACAGACGCGCGCTCGCACACACGCCCAGACTCGCACACATACACTTGTACGCTGGGATGAAGAGATGGAAAGAAGAGAAGGAGAACAGTGTGTGTGTGTGTGTGTGTGTGTGTGTGTGTGTGTGTATGTGTGTGTGTGTGTGTGTGTGTGTGTGTGAGAGAGAGAGAGAGAGAGAGAGATAGGAAAATAGATGGAGAGAGAGAGAGAGAGAGAGAGAGAGAGAGAGAGATATAGATAGATAGATAGATAGAGAGAGAGAGAGAGAGAGAGAGAGAGAGAGAGAGAGAGAGAGAGAGAGAGAGAGAGAGAGAGAGAGAGAGAGAGAGAGAGAGAGAGAGAGAGAGTTGCCTTACCACCTGTCTTCTTCCCATGTCCTGTGGTTTTTCTCAGGGGACTTTTGCCCGTCTAGGCTGTCTAGCATCATGTTGTCAGGGTTGTTTTTCTTACTCGCTAGAAACTGTGGTGCTGTACGAAGTGTTGCTGCTGGAACAACTGCGAATGTCGATCCCGTTCTCATTTACGAAGACAGGCACACGGAAGACGTATAGAGACGAACCTGTTCTGGTTTTTAAAAAAAATGAATAGCCGAACATTGCCAGCGTTTTTGATGTGATGTCAAGGCTCCTCATTTAGACATTAGACAACGTGAGTTCGGTCCTCAGAGTGAGGTCTATTTAAAAAAAAAAAAGTAAGTGTTTTATGGCGCTCGCAACTGCTTAAGGTCAAATAAGCGCGCGGGACACATTCAACATTTTCAGTTGGCAGGACATTTGGAATTTTGCCTTGCTGGCGACGGAAGCCTACTCTTATCGATTTAGGACCTCCAAGGGATCTTTAACGTGCGCTCATGTAGTTGGTTGGCAGGTGCTCTGGTGTGGTTTTCTACTTCTTGTCTTTCAAACGTCTATCTCTTTATCCCTCCTCTTTCTTTTTTGTGTTTGTTACTCTCTAGTAAGATCTCTAATCTTCGGCACTTATGTGACCTTATTGTGTTGCAAGCGCGTAAAACACTTACTAGAACAAAACTGAAATGATAGCTGATAGGGTACCCCTCGTGTGTCCACAGGCCCCAAAGAACTGTGCGTGACAGCATGGGGGCTCCAGTGGCTAAGTGAGACGTGAGTTTAGACTTAAGAGTAAAGTCAAGCAAGTTTCAGTGACACGGGGATCAGATGGATGGTCTCTGGGGTGTGTCCTTGAGCAACACACGACAACCGTAGCTGAAAAAACTAAAATAAAACAGGGCGCTGCACAGTGGCGGCCAGCAAATGCATGGATGTGATATAATTTATCTGTATTGGTGTAAAATTGTGTGTTTATGTATGTATATAATGTATGTATGTGTTTATATATGACAAAGCCATGAAAGAAGCTGCATGAAGAAAACCTTGAGACCATCTTAAGCTAAGCTAAATTGACCGTCTGCACAAACGAAAAGAGCCATATTCATTTATATATGAATGTATTTATAGTTATGTGTTCATGTATGTATGTCTGTTTGCCATTGTGAACCAAATCGCCTTTGTAGAATCTATGAACATGTGATTTATAATTTAATTAATTAATTAATTAACTAATAAATTAATGTCTGTCCCCAGACCCCAAAGAGCTGTACCTGACAGAGCTGAGCTGCGCCACCAAGGATGCCTCCTCCTCCTCCGACTCGGGCGTGTCCACTCTGGACGACCTCACGGACTCGCTGCAGGACATCGCTGACGTCACCGACCTCAACAGTCTTATGGTGAGTGAGGCCTGGAAGGCTTGGGTTTTTCCTTTTGTTTGTTTGTTTGTTTGTTTGTTTGTTTGTCATTGCTGTTTTATGTATTTTAAAAAATGGACCCATATAAAGTTTTATCTACGCCCCCCCCTCCCCAAAGCCCCCAGCCCCTTGCTTTCCCCAATCCACCCCCTCTCTTTTTCCCCCCTGGATTGACCACTACTGGAAGCGCGTTGCTCACATTGTCAAATCGACCCATGTACAGTGCGGTCTTTGCCTTTTGTCGCCGTTCGCCTGTTTGGTTTAATATTTAAAGAGGCCGTCTGTTTTCGCGCTCCCGTCGTGAGTCACTGGTGTGTGTGTGTGTGTGTGTAGTATCCATAAGGTCACCACTGTTCCTGAGTACACTTATAATGATGTGTCCGAGACCTTACGTTGTCCAGGAGAAAAGTCAGTCATCTTAGACAAGGCGGCCCCGGGGCTCTCGTGGCCTAGAGATTAAGGTGTTCGCCTCTCATTCAGAGGTCCCGGGTTCGAATCCGGGTAGCGACGGAAACATTTTCTTCTCTAAAATTGTCTTGTTTCACCTCCTTTCTTGCTCTCCAGCAGCGTTCTGTCATCTACTTTCGTCTCCACTTTCTGCCCCCACCCCCTCACCTCCTTTGCCCCTTCCTCTGGGCTCCTGACTCTTACTTCAGCCTTTCTACTGCTACTCCTTGGCTACTTCTTACTGCTGCCTTTCAGCCACATCCCTGATCTTCCGGTAGGAAAGATCTACACCTAGCCTTCTCGGACAAGGGCAAATAATCTCAGAGGCCCCGTGTGCCAGTTGTGCACGTTAAAGATTCCTTGGTGGTCTAAAAATTGATAAGAGTAGGCTTCGGCCACCACCTGTGCAAAATTCAAAATTTCCTACCAACTGAAAATGTTTAACCCGTGCTCTCATAATATGACGTTATGCAGTTGCGAGCGCCTTAAAACACTTACCAAAAACGACAACAACAACAACAACCAAAACAACAACCCCGAAACAACAACCCCGAAACACTCACGCCCAGCCTTTCTCACTATTTTTTTCTGTCTGTTTTTTGTTTTGTTTTGTGTGTTGTTGTTTTTTAGCTCCTTCTCCGGCCCGCATCTTTGTTTTTGCGCCTGAGATAATATTCTGTATTGCTTTTACTGATAAAAAAGTAGGTAGGTGAACTCTTGTGCGACCTCTCCACTCCTGGTAATCTTTTTCCGTCTACGTCTGGGCCCGTTGTAGGGCGCAAGAAGATAACTCTAATTATAATCTGACTCGTTATATGATCTTGTTTGTTCGTTTGCTGTCTATCTTTTCGCTTGCTTTCCTTTGTGGAGATCGTGTTTTTAAATCTCGAATTTCTCGTCCGTCAGTGGGATTAGACAGGACAGGCAAGGAAGGGGAAAGGAGGGTGGGGGTTGGGGGGGGGGTGTTGT